GGAGGGCAATGCATTGGGCTCCTAAACAATAGTAGGTCGAGATGAGATATCCTAACAAGAGTTAATCTTTTAACATAAATCTTTATTTTTAGCTCTAATTTTTTATAATTCAATTTTGAATAAATTTATCATTTTTTAAAATTTATTTTATTCATTTAAAGTCAATAAAAGTAAATTTGCTTCTTTATAGGAACATTAGGGAATTTTTTACAACTTTTAAAAGTTCGAGGATACATCTGCACCTCCACAAATACTGCATAATTCTTTGATCTTCAAGAAAGAAGGGTAGATGAAACAAATAGCGAGAGAGCCAAAATAATAATGATTTCAAGACAAGATGAAAAACTCTCATTCTCAGTCACACCCGTGGCTGGGAAGGGGGGAGATGGGGGTTAGGGTTGGGCAGTTGAGGCGGCCAAAATCACCGTCCAAACACGACAACGGTTACCGCTAGGATAGTGACAGTCACAAGCGGCGACAGTTAATTGGTCAGAGGCAGTGACACTAACATTGTGTAAATTAATATGTGTCATGGGCCCGTGGCAGGTCACTGATGAGTGGAAATGGCCACTGGTCGGTGGTGGTCACTAGTTGACTGTGGGCACTGGGCGGGGGCGGTTGCCTACCGATGATTGTCAATGTGGCCTGCGATGGCCCCCGATGATTGTCAATGTGGCGGAGCCAAGGGGGTCAGGGTGGTCAGCCGACCCCGTTAAAAGTTTGAGAATATAGAGCTCTGAAATATCTTCGATTTGATATATTATGGTCCCCGTAACTCATTACGAGTAAAAAGTTACGACTTCTGGAAAATCAGTACTATCTAAACGTAAAATCAACAAAACTTGATGCATAATATAGATTATTTTTCCAAAATTTTAAAATAGCGTATAATTAACTCATTACTTATGTGACATTACTCAGAAACAGAGCAAAGGCAACTATCTTATTGCTATGAGTGTCTATTTATCTAAACTACATATGAAACATTAAATTCGGACATTGTATAAAAACGATTCACCATTTTCATTTTGTATATAGTTGATTTTCAACCCCCTTAACCGTTTTTCTGGCTCCACCACTGAATTGGGTCATGGATTACTCTGGATCTGGCGTGTCAAACCCGGTCAATGATGTGATAACCGGTCAATATTTAATGAAAATGAAATATAAGATATAAATAGTTACATATTCAGTTTAAGTTACATGGTCAAGAATTACTCTCATTTAAAATTCAATACTCCGTAACTATTATAAGAATAAATAAAAAATTAATGTGCATAAAAGTGTAGTTTTACCACATAGTCTAAAATATATTTAGAATTATATAGACAATATGTGAACATAATATTTATATATTGAAGTTATAAATAAGATTGATAAGAGTGATACTCGTAGATGTTATGAATATTTTATCAATTGAAAGCTTTGCCAACCGCGTTACTCATGCACGTGTTAGAGCATCTGTTTCATTGCCTGACTGTGTGGTGCTATATTCCTCCGGATTGTACTCCTAAATGCTAATAATCTAGATTATGATTCTATTAATGATAATTAAAAGTTTTCTACCAAAAAATGAATATTTAATCAATAGTTTATTAGCATAATATAATAACAACATAATACGACCGTGGTTATTATTATGATTACTAATAAATATAATAATAACAACAATAAAATAGGATAGTAGTTATAATAATAATAACAATAATGGTAACAATTTGAAGCGTAAGCCTAAAAAACGTTACATGGGTAAAGTATAAAATCGATTCGAATTGATGAACAGTAACACCCTATTATAAGAATAAATAAAAAATTAATGTGCCAAAAAGTATAGTTTTACACACAATCTAAAATATGTCTAGAGTTACATATTTTTGTAGACAACAACAACATCAAACCTTAGTCCCAGAAGATATTGGGGATATTTTTGTAGACAACATGTGAATATAATATATTAGTTTTTTTTATCATAACATAATATATTAGTTAATTAGATAATAACTGTGTAGAAATCGGTCAAAGTGTTTGAGAAATCGGTTAAAGTTTAACATCATTGATTTGAAAAATAGTGTTTGACTAAATAAAAAAGGAAGAATGGAGTATTTGTAAACACACATTAACCACACATCCGGAAAATCTTGATAACTAAGAAGTTGAATTGTTTTTTGTTAATTACCTAAGCACCTCACATCTATATTGTAAAAATTGGACCCAGAAGTGACCCGCCCAAGTGATTGGTCATGGATTACTCTGGATCCGGCGTGTCAAACCCGGTCAATGATGTGATAACCGGTCAATATTTAGTGAAAATGAAATACTCTCGATTCAAAAACAAGTTTCACTTTTCCTTTTCTGGCACTTTCAAAATTAAGTTCCACTTTCAAACATTTCCTTATTTGGCAAATTATCTATATCAAAACAGTGTCAAACAGTGCCAAACAGTGTCCAAACAGTGCCAAACAGTGCACTCCATAGTAAAGTAAATTTTTTTATTTTAATATGTTTAAAGTCAAATGTGGAACTTGTTTTTGAATCGGATGAAGTATAAGATATAAATAGTTACATATTCAGTTTAAGTTACATGGTCAAGAATTACTCTCATTTAAAATTTAATACTTCGTATTCGTAACTATTATAAGAATAAATTAAAAATTAATGTGCCTAAAGGTGTAGTTTTACCACATAGTCTAAAATATATTTAGAATTATATAGACAATATTATGTGAACATAATATTTATATATTGAAGTTATAAATAAGATTGATAAGATCATAAGAGTGATAGATGTTATGAATATTTTATCAATTGAAAGCTTTGCGAACCGCGTTACTCATGCACGTGTTAGAGCATCTTTCAGCCCCTATACCGTACGACCACCCCACCATAAGCATCATGCTCTCACTCCCAAAACGATGTAGTTTTGGGTAATTTAAAAAGAAAAAAAGAAAAATCGGGTGAACAGTGCACGCGTGAACAGTACACGCATGTACAGTGACATTGTTTTTTGTCCCAGTAACATGGATGGTCTAACTTTCACGTAAAGATATGTAACTCGCATTATTAATCAATGTAACTCAAGTCCATCCAAAATGTAACTTGTCAAATATTGATTTCAATGTAAACAATGAAAAAAGAGAATCTAATTGCACAATTGTTTTAGGTAAAATGTGAATATGTTTTGTTTTTAATATCATGATCATAAAAATTAATTTTTTTACAAAAGACCTTTTTTTTGTTTCAATAACAGGGGTTGATGACAAATGTAACTCTGTTATTACAAATGTAACTCGCGTTGATGGCAAATATAACTTGGGTGTACACAAAATATAACTTGTTGGAAAATTGAACAATGATTTTTTTGTTTGAGATATTATAAACATTGATTTCAATGTAAACATTGAAAAATTGATCTTAATAGCTTAATTACTTTTTTTATAAATAGTGAATATGTTTTATTTTTAATTTTAGAGCAATAAAAATGATATGGCTAGAGTTTATTCCGTGTGTAACTCGCATACATTAAGATATAACTCGCGTATATTAAGATGTAACTCGTGTACATTGAGTTGTAACTTGCGCAGAAGAAGATGTAATTCCATAATATATTATCAAATGTAACTTCAAAAATCAAAATGAACAAACTCAAAATAACAACAAAATACGACCGTGGTTATGATTATGATTACTAATAAATATAATAATAACAATAAAATAGGATAGTAGTTATAATAATAATAATAATAATAATAATAATAATGGTAACAATTTGAAGCGTAAGCCTAAAAAAGTTACATGGGTAAAGTATAAAATCGATTCGAATCGATGAACATTAAGAATGTTTTTACTTGGACGGTAATATGTCCCAGACCAGACCAGACCAGACCAAATCAGTCCAGACCAAATCAGTTCAGACCAGACCAGATCAGACCAGACTTGGATAGTTATAAAAATACAAAGAAACCAGACTTTACCAGACCAGACCAGACCAGACCAGACCAGATCAGACCAGACCAGACCAGCAAATTACTGTCCAAGTAAAAACATCCTAACACCCATCAGCTAGGGGGCAGGATCGGTCCGGTCTGGATCGATTGTTTTTGCAAATTAAAACTCCTAAATTACCCGTAAAGTCTCGAGTTATAAAAATTGGGGACCTGAACAAAGCCCACTAAATTCGATCTTAATCGAGCTTTTGGTAGCTCGGGTTTGGTTCGGGTTCAGGTTGGTCAAGTTAAAGTCTGAACATGTAGTCATCGCATTTTTCTTTTATATATTAAAATAAAATTAATAAAATATACAAACCGCAATTAATAACACAAATATTAATCTCCAAAATCACCAACAATTCAAATCCAAAAAAGATAATTATCTTACTATTTTGTTTAGGTTGCATATTAATAAATAATATAGGTTTTTTAATGGTATTACTAAATAAAATTTATGGATAAAAATGTGACTAAAGTTACGATAAATATATTTTCATGATTTACAGTATACAAAATTAAACATATTTGTAGTCACTAAGAGTAACTAAGTCATTTTTCATCCATCATGATTATAATAATATATTAGGAATTATTTATAAATTAGATTCGAATGTAACATCGATTTTATACGGAGTATTAAAGTTAATTGTTTCAAGTTTTTATCGGTCCGGGTTATAGATTTTAGAGCCCGTTTATGAACCCGAATATTCGGGTTCGATCCGAGGTTTTCATTCGGGTCGGTTAAAAAAGAAAAAATTCGGATCGGGAACATCATTCGGGTCGGGCTAGAGTCGGTTTCCGTGTTTCGGTCCGATTTTTTCCACTCCTATTTTCACTGGCCAAGTGGGACGTATTGTGTATTTTAAAAAAATTTATTCAATAAATTAACACAAAAGTGATTTTGTTATTTAAAACTTGATTTTTTACTACAAGAGCCATCTCCATAATACGGCTAGTACATTGGTTGTTTAAACTAAAATAGCAACCTTTTTGTTTTATAAACCAGGCAGCCTGCTTCGAAATGACTATCTTAAACTCCCTCTCCTAAGCTAGAAGAAATGCAGGCGGCACTATTACTTTCTGGTGGCTATGGTTTCAGGTGCTTTCCCAAGTCCCTCTCCATCTTCCAGAAGAGGCGTTTGCAAGTGTTTTCTTCCAAGAAGACACCTCCAAGTCATCTTCCAGCTGCCAAGTATGTTTTCATTTTTTTTCCCAGTCTATTTCTTCATTTTCTTGGTTCTTCTTAGGCTTGTTTCACCCTATATTTCTGGGTTCTTCTTAGGCTTATTTCTTCAGAAAAGAAGGAGTACTCAATGAGTGTGGAAGAGTCTTTGGCTAGCAAGTTCAAGATTTTAGATGCTGGAATGTCATTCTGCTCCAACACTTTGACTGTAAGTCTGGCTTTCTATGGTGCTGTTCACGTGATGCTCAAGTTTTTTGGGAAGGATGAAAAGCTCAAGGACAAAATCAATGGCTATGCTTTAATGTTGGCCACTTGTGCACTGATCGGGCTTGGATGGAGAAATCCACACATCGTGAAGACTATATTTAAGTTGTTTTTTTGATTCCAATATTAACTATGTCTAATTTAACTATTTTAAATGTTCTGGTTTGGGTCAGGGGTGGTGCTGGTGCCCCCTTCGCCGGAAACTATGAAGTATCTATTAGTAGTGAGTAATAATATCCGGGTGCCGCTAAAGCTCCGGTCTACCCTGTTTCCTCTAAAATATGGTCTGCATAAGCTTTTGCTCTGGCCCTGCCCCTTACTATGGGTTGTTATCAAGGTTTAACTATGTTTTGTAATGGTCTATTCATCTTTTCTTGTCGTCTACGTAAACATCTTTGTCAAAGTTTATTATCCATTTTGCTAAACATTGTGAGGAATGTTGGGAATTTTGCAACAAGTTGAATTTTGCTTGTTATACTCCAAGCCATGGGCGGAACCGGAGGCGAGACGGTGCCGGCGCCGCTCCTTCGCCGGATTGTTTTTTATTACTCCAACATTGTGAGGTATGCCGATTTGCGCCCCTGCCGCCCGTTTCATCTTCTTCGTTGCGACTGCAGTGGCCCGTGGGAGATGCAGCTAGAGAACAAGAAGACGACAGCTTGTTGTTTATTTAATACTAATAATTAAATGAGCCAAACGAGGATAAGTGCACAGGGAAACAAGAACGACGTCGTTTTGACGTATAACTAGGGGATATACGCGTTGACCTTCTTCTTTCCCTCGTTCGCTCGCTGGCCAGTCCAACTTCTTCGACCTCGTGTTATGACTCTCCGTCGAAGCCTCGCGCCCTCGCCGGCTGCCCCTACGTGACTGCCTCACGAACTGCGAAGTGACGAAGTCCCAACTCAAAAGGCCGTAGCGGAAGGCCAGTTCTATAGTTTGGAATTTCGGCAAGTCCGTAAGTTTGGTAATTAATTTTAAAATTGATTCTGTTTTAATTACTTTAATTGTTCATTTGGTTCAATTAATTATTTACTTTAAAATTGCTTGTTTTCGGAAGGCCAGTTGCTTTATGCTTAGTTTGGGTAAGTCCGTAACTTTGTGTGAATTTTAAAAAACCCCAATTAGTTTCATTTGAATTCTAATTGATTATAACTATTTAAGAATTTGAAGCTAAAATCTTTTTTAAGTTGTTAGGTTAGTCATGTGATCATGTTATTTTACAATTTCTAATCCGACGCGTTGGGTATTCTAGACGAGATAACGAAGAATGTAGTAGAGAAATAGATTCTTGTGTCAAATTTGATCCAAATGATGTTATGTCTATCCTGGACTATGTAAACAAATCAAAGATTATAGTTCTTTTATTAGAGACGAGGCTCGGAGAGAATTTTTAACATTTTAACACGAGGTCCGTACACCATTGTCTCAATTGGCTTCTTCTTCTAACATTTAATTGTAATGTAATGTACTCTTCTCACTAATTTTATACTAGTATTCTGTACACTTTAATAACAACTTATATTTTTTCAATTTATCATACTTTAAGCCACCCCTTATTTTCGTTCCGGTTCCGCCACTGCTGCAATCACTCCATATAGTGGTGGACCTGTACTCATTGGGACAGGCTCGGAACTGATTTCCCGGTATCAGTACCGGCCCAGTAACCGGACCGCCTATATAACGGGACGGGCTCGGGGTGCTTTTTGGGCCCAAATTGGCCGGTCCCGGGCCCGGTTCTGTTCCTAACGCTCATTTTTTTAATCTTTTTTAAATAGAGGGTGGGGTACCTCGTACCCCGTGACCCGACACGGACCCGCTCGGGTACCCGGACCAGAACTAGTATTGGACCAAACCGGGTCAGTACTGGGTTTCACTACTTCAGAACCGGACCCAACTGACCCGAGTCCATGGCTAACTCCATATTATATCTGGATTTTTATAGAAACTAGTAATCTAAATTTGATGTTCTTTGGAACACTCCAAGGCATCATAAAACCTACAAATGACTACACAAACAAGCATTCTACCCCAACAGATTACATTGAAGATACAAAATTGCAAAAATCAATGAGACTAGAAAGATATAGCTTGGGAAGCACCTTGTAAACAATTACTTGGATCTGCAGGAAAATACTGTTAACGGTGATCATCTTGTTAGAAGAAACATAATGGTCTGACTTTTGTCCTTGTGTACATCTTAAACTATGCAACAAAAGGCTAGCTGAATAGCCTTCCTTATGATCCTAGCCCTCTGCCCTCCATATACTCCGCATAATGCTTGACAAACAATATATAAGGAGTTTGGATGTAGTCTTTTTAAGCTTCAACCAGTGTGTGCTTAAATACTTAATTGCAAAGCAACAATCTGTATCCTTCTCAATATGCAATAAATTAACAAAGGTAATTAATGTATTCCGTAAGTCAGGTCACATTATAAAATAGAGTTCTTCCGTGTCAGCCTCATCCATGGCATTCATTGAATTCCGGTACTCAGGTGTCATACACCATTCCAGACTTATGCTTTCCTTGGTCATAGAAACACATGGGATTGTTGTTGTTAGTATATGACAGTTTGTAATTAGTAGTGTTTGGAATTGTGAATACACATGGGTTTTATTAAGGAAATCATAATAATACACATCCAATATTCAGAGAAAAGATAGGAATTAATTAAAATTTTAATACTAATAAAATACACCCTAATGACTAATGTTCCTGCTCAACCATTTGGACTAAATTAGATCTACGTCTTTCTATCTTCCCGATTCTCAAATCAGTCTTGGGCTTCAGAGAAACAATCGTTTGATGAAGAGGCAGGGCCGAAATTGCAGAGGAATTTGGAGAAATAGCAGAAGAAGACAGCACCATGGTTGCAGAAAAAGAGGGGATGCCATCCGTATTGACCATGATGGGCTGCTGCTCAGCATCTCCTCTCTCAACTTCCCACCCGCCTGACCCATCTCAGCGTCGTCCCTCACCACCCTCTGATGCCATCATACTCACAAGTTTGTCCATGATTACAACATACATCCGCCACCGGTAATTTCACTCCCATTTTGTTTCACTATTTCGATTTATGATTCGGGATTCCATCGAGCTCATTCTATCCTACTTTAGGGTTTGCTAGAGTTATGCCTAGAAGAATATTTTCACCAAATCTGGATTGGATTGATTGAGTACACAATAGCACGTTCAGTAGAGAAAGATAAGAGGCTTCGTTCCTCTCTTATTGCCATTTCAAAACTACTATTTTTTTCCTTATTTTTCGCTTCATTCTTAATTTCAAGTTTTCTCTTTGTTCCAACTCATATCAATTCAACTTTTTTCTTTAATTTGCACGAGATTCATCTCATACTTTGCCATAATGAATCTACTTGATTCACCTCAATTGATTCCTCTAACTTTCATTAGTTTTTTCTGCAATTGATAATTTGATGGTACTTTTTAAAATCTCATAGGATGTAATTTCACATTAAACAACGTGGTGAATGGTGAGGTCACTAAGGTGACTTATTTATCAACTGACTGCTTTTTTTATAGTTCAGATGTGAAAAGATCATACTCTATGCCATTTAGAATAATATAATCTGTGTTTTTAAAAAAATTGTATGATATTAACTTTGATGAAAATCAAACCATGAACAGATTTAAAAACCCAGATTGAAAATGATAATTGTCATGAATGTGAACCAATTAGATATTTATGCTTTGGGATTTCTAGATCTAAAAGTCTGGTGTTTGTACTGCATTTGGTGTTGACCATGTTCCTGTTCACAGATTTTGATTTTTTAAATGTTAACCTGTAATCTTGTGAATCTGCAAATTTCCTCAATTCAATGTTTGTTTGTCCATTTTAAATTCCATTTTCTTTGTTCAACCGCGAGATTTGTTTTGATCATATCTACGGTTCAAAATTTTCACTTACCCTATTCTCTTTATCTGCTGCATCACATTTTCCACCACCTTTTTGGAATACTATTTTTTCAGATCCAAATCTCTTTTTCCCCCCGAGTTCCGCCCTCAGATCTCAGATGCATTAGCCAAAACCACTCGGCCTGAAAGTCGTTCATGGATATTGGAGTTGAGTCCATATCCTCATTTCCCTCCCGGTGAGTTCGGCCATTCTTACCATTCTTAATTACCCAGTATTTTAATTTCATCTCTATTTCTTAATTCAATTTTCTGAGTGTATTAGACAATAAAGTAAATTATGAAAAAGCAAGATCGAGTTGAACACCCTGCCGACCTCACTTGCCAACCGACTCTCACAAGCAATCTTACTTGAAGAAGTGGGTTAATCATTCGGTTATTACCTTCGTTTATTTTCTTGCCTGTTTGGTTTTTGTTAGATTTTTCTATTTGTTTCTATTTTGATTAGTTATTTGTATTTTTGGTTTCCTTTTTCCTTATGGAGCATATTCACTATCTTTTTTATTTAAAAAAGCTAAATCCAATTCATCTGACTTGGACGCCTAAGTTTATTTGAATTCAGCCAAGTTTGGATGAAGTTGTGGGGTGTGCGTACTTATCCGTATACGCAAATTTTTCATAACACACATACACAGTTGCTCCACTAAAAAACCACAGCAAGAGCAGTGGGTTACATATTGCTGCTTGGTTTATATTTAGGTGGTACTGCTTCACTTGGTTCTTACGATGATTTTGACTGTTTACTCATTTCAATTCTTTTGATTTTATTCTGTTTGTTTTATTTTTTAGATGATATGGAGCATCATAAGGAAGACTTTATATTTCCATTGAGATCACATTAGATATACACTTATGACTTATCTGTTTATCATACTGATAAAAAGTTTATATATCGATTGGAGAAAACAAATTCATTTTTCTCATATTACTCTGTATACTTATCTGTTTATATATATATGTAGCTCCCTAATCATTTCCAAGTCTTTGTAAAATTGTACTTATGAGAGATGGGTGCGGCATAGCTAATGGTGAAGTCACTTTGTTTATTAAAAATCTGCCTGCATATATAATAGCCAAATAAGGTTCTTCAAATAGGAAAATGCTCCACGTTGCTTGGAATAAGAACCTTATTGGATATAAAACTAGAACATGATGTTTAAAAAGCACCATGTGCTATGTTTTTTATTACCAAAGCTTAGTCTACTATTTATACTTGAAGCTGTTTATATATATATATATGTAGCTCTCTGATCAAATAATATTTTTATGCCTTTGTAATTATGTGCTCATGGAAGATGTGTGTGTGTGTGTGTGATATGCATGATTAAGGGTGAATTTATCTGATATAGTAACTGATATTGTGAATAAAGCAACAAAATCTCAGCCATTTAGTGCCATTAAAAAAACCTCACTTTGAAGGTTTTGTTATCAATAGTCACTTTTGAGTTTTGATAGCCCTATTTAAAATTTTGCAGTTTTTTTTTTTTTTTGAAGATCCAATTTGGATATGATTTCTACTCTGTCTATTACTCCGTATAAAACACATATAGTGACTGGCAGTAGCAAGAGTTCAAAAGCTACTAGCATCCCTAATCAAATCTTTACACGAATCATTTTCTTTTTTTACTTCAAAGCTATTAAATATGGTAAGACGTGCCAACTCCTTTTCCCTCTCAAAAGTATATTGCAGTGCAGCCATTTTTTTTTATCTTAGAGGCATATCAGATACTCCATATATCTTATCATATTTTATCTCAAATTTCAGTCGTTTCTCTCATTGGTATAGGTCCTAAACTGAACTATGCTTCTAAAGTACAAATTTTTAACACTTCAGATGTCATAGATAACAAAATGTTTATTCATTTTGTTAAAATTTCAGAAACAAAATTGTAAAGAACCTCGATTAACTCAATGTAACATATATAAATATGATTTGAGTTCTGGGCAGAAATTGCAGAAGCAATGGATGATTTGTTCTTATATTGCCTCACTGTATACAATTAATTTTGTATATGAAGTAATTTGTGTTTTTTTTAATTGATGAAGGGGGGTTTGGATACATGCTGCTGGGAAGGTACCAGAACCAGAGACTATAAAAGTAATGGAAGAGTTTTTATAGGGCGATATATGCGATTAATCGCATTACCGATCTTCATTTTCCAGAACAATATCCTGCCTCAATACTCCCAGGTACCTAATTCTTTGCTATAATTAAGGGATTCTTGACTCAATTGTGTTTATTTAATTACATTGAGTTTCTTAATGACGTTTGATGTGACTTATTGACTATTACTATGTATATGTTTAAAAATGTCCCATGGCGTATGCGTTATATCGATTATCTATTTATGAATCTCAAATAAATTCAACTAGGTTGAAGCAGAAAGTTAAAAAGGATTTCTTTTACGGCCTATTAGCAAGGTAATGTGAGTACTTGAATTTTGCATTCCCTCCAGCACTTATATGTTTGGTTCTGGTTATGTTTCCCCCGAGCAATTTTTATCAACATACTACACAATATACTCATTAACCAAAAATGTTTGGTTCTGGTTATGTTTCCCCCGAGTAATCATTAGGCCGATCGTTTAAAAAGTTTACTATAAAATGAGCTTGGACAGGAAGAATGTTTTTGTTTACTATTAATAATAGATTATCACGTCCTTATACAGAGTATTGTTTAAGAAACTTGTGTGGTACTATATTACTCCTTCAATATGCCTAAGTTCACCAGTAAATAAGTACAGTAGCGAAGGGCCATACAACATAATCTATCAATTTTCTTGGTTTATATTCACCAAAAGATGAGTACGCTGAAGAGGATATCATACCAAAAATCTGTAAAAAGGGTAGACTGGGTAACAAATGCCAAAGCATGTGAATACAACCTATAAAGGATTTTATAAACCACCCTGTTGTTAGCAATGCTATTTGCACTTCCAGCTTCCCGAACATTAGAAACTATGTAGCACAGTGCAATTCTCACAGCTTTCATAAAAACAAATCAAGGCTTGTTATAATATTTATTAAATTAAAAATATTTTTATAAGGTTTTACTCTTTACATATAGATGAATTGAATGAATTTAATTGTCAATAAGATTGTAATAAATATATAACAAATATGCTACCATGTCTTTAACAAAAGTAAAATCTGTGGGCAGAAGCATTTTGAGTAAACTTATTTGAAATAACATCTTCAAAGAACTACATAAAACACATCTTGCAAAGCTCAAGTATAAAAGACCTTTAGTAATCGGACAACACATTAGAACTGATTAGTTATTGATATTATATTTTTATATTCAAATATCACATGCGGATTGTAATTTTAATTATAGTTTAGAAATATATATTGGGTATAACTGTAGTTTCAGACTTATATACGTGCACAGATGGGGCTGGAAAAAACTACAACCAGTAATTTTAGAAGTATACTTTAAGAATAGTTAGACTTCGTTTCGAAGTAGAAATGAATTTATGTACGAAAATATACTTTCAATTGTTATTTTTCTATTTATAATAGAAAATATCTTTTGAACGGTAGGAGACATCATACTGATAAAATGCACATCAATGAATGGATATTTGAATATAAAACATAAGTTTTAAAACATGAATATTATTTTTTATTTTTATGTTAGTACAGACACCTATATCCCAAGACATTGAGGATGTTGATAGTACAGACACCTATCTCCCAAGACATTATTTAAGGACTTTCTGAACATGAGATTGATTGTGGAATTGAAGATGGTACATCCATTCGAGGGTCAAATACTAAGAAGCTGAAAATGGTCAAGATAGAGAAGCCATAAATTACTATTGACCTTTAATTTTATGTTTCACTTTTGGGTTTTTCATTTGAATGTTCTGAATTGGTATTTATTTTTTCATTATTCTGTTTTTCAAGGAAGACATTTTGATCGAACTATTAGTTCAACATTTTTCTTGCTATTCACATTCATTAAGAGTTTGCTTTGAAAATATGATGCTACTTATTATCGTTAGCAAAATGTTGCTACCTTGGTGCCCCGTCCCATTAATATTGGGACATTCGGAGGTGGGCTGATTATTAGGAAAAGTGGGTTTATGGGATTGATATTGAATTGATAAAATAAGAATAAAGTAAGAATAATTTAGAAACAAATAAATTTTATCAAATTTGGTATGAGATAATCTTGACGAGATATATCGAAAAAAGAAAGATGACACAATTTAAAGCGGAATAGAGTACTTCCTCCGTTCCTTTTTAATTGCAACAGTCAACATTTCACGTTTGCCAACGCACAAATTTGACCATTAATATCTTTCATTTCTTATTAGTAAAAAAATTAAAAATTTCATATTTTGAAAATTTAGAATGAGACGAATTTAACAATATTTTTTTTTAGATTTTAATTTATTATACATCAATTAATAAAATGTAGTCAAAGTAGAATACGTGAATAGTGCAAAAAGTCCAATGTTGCAACTAAAAGAGAACGGAGGTAGTATATTATTTGCAATTGTGATATCATTTAGTGCCATTAAAAAAACCTCAGTTTGAAGGTTTTGTTATCACTAGTCACTTTTGAGTTTTGATAGCCCTATTTCAAAAGCTACTAGCATCCCCAATCAAATCTTTACACGAGTCATTTTCTTTCTTTTTTTACTTCAAAGTGTTTGCAATTGCTTCAACTTTAAAAAAGTGATTTTTTAAAGTGATTTTGGGAAAAGTGATTAATAGTAAAAGTTGGTAGTGTTTGAGAAAAAAGTGATTTTGGAAAAGTAAAAGTTGGTAATGTTTGGTAAAATAAGTACTTTTTGTGTAATAGAAAAAGTGAAAAGCAGTTTAAAGCACCCTTCCACCTGCTTTCAGCTTTTAGCTTTTAAGTGATTAATTTAAGTAGAAGTTATCATTTGAAAACACTTTTTTTTAGCTTTTTTTAAGCCAAAAGCTGAAAAGCACTTTTTTTAAGCAACTCCAAACGCTGCTATATGGTAAGACTGTAAGACGTGCCAAGTTGGTAAGACTGTAAAAAAGTGTTTGCGATTGCTTCTACTTTAAAAAAGTGATTTTTTAAATTGATTTTGGAGAAAGTACTTAATAGTAAAAGTTGGTAGTGTTTGAGAAAAAAGTGATTCTGAAAAAGTAAAAGTTGATAGTGTTTGGTAAAATAAGTGCTTTTTATGTAATAGAAAAAGTGAAAAGCAGTTTAAAGCATCCTTCCACCTGCTTCCAGCTTTTAGCTTTTAAGTGATTAATTTAAGAAGAAGCTGTCATTTGAAAACACCCCTTTCAACTTTTTTTTAAGCAAAAAGCTGAAAAGCACTTTTATTAAGCAATGGAAAACACTCCTTAAGACTGCCAACTACTAAACGGGCTCTCAGTTCCCAACCAATAGATATTTCTCGGTTCTAGAAAATAACTTTTCTATTTTTCAATATTCACTTCTACTTTTACAGTTTAGAATTCGTACTTCCTTTTCTTTGAAAGCTTAGCAATTCGTACTTCTAAATGATACTCCCTCCCCCGGTTTAAAAGTTCCCGTCTACTATTTACATGGTCAATTTAAATCATTCTTAACATTTTGCTTTATATATCAAATTTTTATGAAATTTATATTTTTTTAATCAGGCTTTGTAGCGACTTTAATATAGTTTCCGAATATGTAAATTTTATTTACTAGAAATAATCAGGGTGTGAACAGGCATCGAGTTGCTTTATCGTCAGTCCAGCATCGTAACGCGAACCGAGAACCTCTATATGGGACTGAGGGAGTAACATAATACTATTTATTTATTAAGTATTTTTAAAACGGAAATAAAAGTGAAAGAAAAAATAAACCGGAATTGAAAAAAAGAGCAACTGTTATCCGCATAATACTTTTTATAGAAGTGAAAACATATTCTAATGAGTGAATTCCCTAAATAGGACTAAAAAGTGGAAAAATTGCACAAATAGGACTACATTTTTTAAATTCCCTTAATAGGACTATTTATGTGTGTTTGGACAAATATACCCTTGTAACTTGTGAAATGTTTTAATTAATAATAAAATCATAAAAAAATTAATAAAAATAGAAAAAAATACTAAAAATCGTAAAAAAATAATAGAAAATTAATAAAAATATTTTTTAAAAAAAATAAAAAAATATTTTTTTTAAAAAAATAAAAAAAAAAATAAAAAAACCATAAAATTAAAAAAAACACATTACCACCCCTGCCACCCCCCAACACCACCATCTCCCATCACCGGACAAAAATATGCCAACATTTTAAATAATGCCATAATGATGGCATAATCAATGAAAATGTTGGCATATTGAAGAGTAATTATGCCATCTTTTTGGCATTTTCAGAAAAATATGGCATTTTTTTACCAAAAGTGGAAGAAATTTCACCAATAGAAGGTGGTGGTGCTGGGAGGCGGCGGGAGGTGGTGAGAAAGGTATCCATAATTTTTTTTTCATTTTTTATGGGTTTTTACTATTTTTTATTATTTTTTAAAAAAAATTAATAAAATAAAAAATTAAATTTTTTATTTTATAAATGTTTTATATTTTTTTTTTAATTTTTTTACGTTTTTTAAATATTTGTTTACGTTTTTTGTGATTTTATTATGAATTAAAGCATTTCGTTATGAATTAATACTCTTAGGGGTATTTAGGGTAGAAAATCAATGTTTAGTCCTATTTAGGGAATTTTAAAAATAGTAGTCCTATTTGTGCTTTTTAAGAACTTTTTAGTCCTATTTAGGACAATTTCCGTATTCTAATTGCCTTATCCGTATTTATTCACAACAATTAGTCATGGCCCCGGGCTCGGGCCGGGCCTAGGCCCGGTCGGGCCTCGGGTTTTTTAAAGGAGGCCTGGGACTGGCCCGTGCTATGGCCGGTGCCGGTTCGGGCCGGGTCACCCGCCCGGGTCATGGGTCGGGCCACCCGCCCGGCTGGGTCGGGCCATGTTTAATTTTTTTTAATTTATAGTTTATACAAATTCTTATTAAAAACAAAGTTCAAGTACATTTATTTGAAATGGGAACTACATTTGAGAATTGAGAAAAAAATTACAATATGAAATACATTTTCTAATAAATATCAATCGGAATTTTTGCCTCGTCATGGTTGCCGTCACCATCGCCCGTCTCCGGTTCAAGTTCATCCGCATCGTCATCCTCGAGCTCATCTTCGTCAATGATCGTCGGGATTTGTTCTTACTGGAAAAAGCGGTTATTATGTCGAGCCAATTCTTGTTGTAGTTGTTCTTCGAACATCGCATCTCCATCTCTCCTTGGTAATAACCCGTTTCAAAATCATCTCGGCTTTGAGATGAAGAGCCGGCAAGTTCTTTACCTTTGCGGGATTTCTTTCTCCCAATCTCGTTCCTTCGGTTGCGCTCGAGGTTACCCATATCAATCGAATATCTACCACCTTCAATCTTAAAAATGTAACAAATATTAATTTGCAACAAATATAATAATGAGTACAAAAGTAATGCAACTAATTAAAACTATTTGAATTAATACTTCAAACTAATTTAGTGAAAACTACTTTAATAAAATGTGAAGTACTTTAATTAAGTAATGAATTAAAGTGTGACTCTAAAATAAAAATTTATATTCGAACTAATCAATAGTATTTTTTAATGAATACTTAAAACTAAGAAATGTGACTTTAACTAAAATGTGAGTAATTAAATTATAGCAACTTTTCAAGTACTTTAATTTAGTGAAAACTACTTTAATAAAATGTTAAGTACTTTAATAAAATTAATTGAACTACTCTTTGACTATAAAATTAGCAACGTTTTTCTTTCAAATATAAATTCAAACTATTATAATGTGACTTTAACTATAATGACAATTAACTAGTTTTTTAAAGTAGAGACTAAGGTAGCAAGAGTTATTTCCCGGGGAGGGGTGCTTTTCAAACTTATTTCCCAAACTAGGGTACTTCTAAACTTATTTCCCAAAGTAGGGTATTTTTCGTCATGTCATCTCATTACCATCGCAGGTCGCCACATCAGTTTATCCACGTCATCCAAGCAATTCCATGTCATCCAACTTTAAGAATTGAAGTGTGTTTCCAAAAGAATAAAGTAAAATTGGCACCAGGATTCGCACCTAGGCGTGGCACAAGGAGGAAATGCTACTGAACCACTACACTAACCAGTTCTCTTGTGCATTTGACGTTTTGCCGTATACTTAAACCATATATACTTCTTTCCCAAACAATTAAAAAAAACTTAACTTGAGTTATTCAATTAAAAATAAAAACCTAACTAAAATTTATAATAAAAACCATATTTCACAATATTTAATTAGAATATTAAAACTTAATTTGAAATTATAATTAAAAAAACATAATTTGCGATATGTGAACATTTTTTGAAATAACTCAAAATGAAATACAAGAAAATATAAGCAAATCATGCTATTCCACTTCAATTTTCTAAAAATAATATTAATAATATAAAATATCATATAAATTTTAAACATATAATAAAAAAAAACTTAATTTGAAGTAGGTAATTAAGAAATTATTTGACATAACTCAAAAATAAGTAAAATAAAAAATAATTAAATTTCATGCTAATGTAAAATATTAATGTAAACAAATATCATATACTCCGTACAATTTTTCACAAAAAATATCTTTTGTAGCAGCTCACTTCTTTTCAAATGGACTTCGGTTCGAATTATTCTCATAAATTATTATTGATTTGAATTCAAATACAATGCTCAAATTTGAGCTAAATTTTAGTGAAATTTGAAATTCAAATATTTTAAATCCAAATGTATATTCATTTATCCGTGTATTTATCTTTTCGTTAGAGATATACTGTGCATAACTTCATTTTGAAATAATTAAAAAATAAAGAGCTAAATAAAATACTAAATGTCATGGAAGGTTTTAGCCCACCGCAATTTAAAATTGGATAGTATTCATGAGAGGTAGACTAGAATGAATTTACTTATATTTTATTGAATTTCATTTTGAGTTATTTTAAAAAATATTGATTACAT